GTACTGGGAACTGAACTCACGACCTTGCGCTTGCCAGGCAGGCGCTTTTGCCACTGAGCTAAATCCCCAGCCTTGATCGATTCTTTACTGCGGTACAGTATACATGACACAGGGGCTGGGGATTTAGCTAGGACATGGCTTGATGGCATTTAGCTTATTCCCATGGCTGTGAGGCCGTCACCACCGTCCACCTCCACAACTGTCAATCTCCCCACACTGCGCCTTGTCCCAGGAAACACTGACTCTTGTCTCCTCCCCAGCCCTGCACTCACGAGGCCACTTCCTGTCTCTGGCATCACCCATCCTGGGCGTTTCCTGTTCACAGAGCCCACGCTGTGCGTCCTTAAAGGCTGGTATCTCTCACTGAGCGCAGCATCCTCAAAGTCTGTCCACACCGCGGCGACTGTCACAGCCCCACTGATTTTAGTTTCTTCACTTTTTTGTTTGGTTATACAGATGAATGGGTTTCATTTTAGCAGACTTGCACATGTGCATAGCAGGCTTTGATCTCTGGGTGTGGTGATAAACACCTGTAATCCCAGCACTGGGGAGGCTGAGGCAGGAAGATCACTATGACTTTCAGGCCAGCCTGTCTCACTATGTAGCCCAGGCTGGTCTCAGACTTGCTGTAGTCCTCCTGCCTCAGCCTCTCAAGTGCTGGGATTATAGGTGTGCACCCTGATGCCCGGCTGTTTTTTGTGGGGTTTTTTTTTTTTTTTTGTCTTTCGGAAACAGGGTCTCACTATGCAGTTCAGGCTGGCCTTGAGCTCACTTTGTAGCCCAGGCTGGTCTCAAACTTGCAATGACTCCCCTGCCTGAGCCTCCCTAGTGCTGGGATTACAGGTGTGCGCCACCACACGCAGCTTGTTTCTTCTTTGGAGACAAGGTCTTGCTAAACTGCCCAGGCTGGGATCCTCCTGCCTCAGCCTCTCAGAGTGCTGAGATGAAAGGCAGGTGTCACCTGCCTGCTGCAGTGTGAGGCTATTACAAGGTGCAGCCCTGGGCACCGCCATCATCTCCCTCACGCCTGCCCTGAGACTGTCCCCGTGCTGGTGGTGGTCTCGCCTCTCCGGGGTCACACTCCTGCACTGCTGAGTGCAGCAGCCAGGGCTGTAGGAGGTCAGAGAGGGACTAGAAACCTCCCAAAGCCACACAGCAATGAGTCAAAGGTACAGCCCAAATCAGAACCCAGGCCCAGGTCAGCTCATGTTTTCTGAGACCAGGGACTATTTTTATCTGGTGTCCAAGGCCAGCAGGCCAGGGCAGACAGTCCTCCCGGGCTGTCCCTTCCTTGGGGTCTCCTCCACGCAGACCATCCTCACCCACTTTTCCTGGCACTCAACACCCCACCCCAAAGCCTTCTACCTGTCATCCCAGCATTGTGGGAGGCTGAGGCAGGAAGATAGAAAGTTTGAAGTCAAACCGGGCAATTTTAGCATTTATCAAGACCTGTCTCTAAATAAATAAAAAGGGCTGGGAATGGTGGTGGTGATGGGGACCAAAAAATACAAAAAAAGCTGCACCCCAGGGACCTCGGGGGTCAAAGCCCCAGCAGGCAGAGCCAGCCCGGTTTGGGTGACAGCTGGGGACAGGAGAGGAGGCCCTAGGCACCTGCTGATCCTTGCACTGGGTCCCTGTCTCCTGTTGCTGCTCTGCTTGTACGTGGCCGGGGGGGAAACTGAGGCTGGAGCTGGACTCCTTGGAGACTCAGGCTGAGCTTGAAGCCAGACCCACAGCCTTGCTCTCGGGAGTGCCCAGGGCCTCTGGCCGCCGGTCAGCGTTGGTGAGTGCCCTTGCCGGCCGCGAGGCCCCCCCTCCCGGGGACTCCGACGGCACTGGGGGAGGGGCCCGGCCCGCATGGGAGGCAGGCGTGTTGGTCCAGGTGTGTGTGGGGCGGGCCGCTACAGACCTTGGGGACTCCTGTGGACTTCAGAGATGCCCTCCCCCCATGCCGGGGTCCCGCACTCTGCCCAGGCCTCCCCCAGCCCCTCTTACCCCACAGCCTCTGCGCGGCCCTGCGGACACGATGGGGCGTGGGAGGGCGGCTGGAACAGACAGGGACAGGTGGCTGAGGACAGCTGGGGGCCGGTCAGGGTGGCCAGTGGGGCGGGGGAGGGGAGGGGCAGGCAGGAGGGCGCTGCTGGGCGTCCCCACCCCGCCCCCGCCCCAGGGGTGGCCCCACCCCCCCCTCAGTGTGCAGCCCATGCCAGCAACCAAGGAGGCAGCGCTTCCTGTCTCTCAGGGCATCCCCTGCCCTCTGTCTGGCATTCTGTCAGCAAAACCTTCTTAAGGGCGGGCGGGTAACTGGGGATGGAGCCCGGCGCCTTCAACACTGAGCTCCGTCCTCAGCCCTTTCTATTTTTTATTTTGAGACCGGGTCTTGCTAAGTCACTGAGGTGCTGAGTTATCCAGACTGGACTGGAACTTGTGATCCCACTGCCTCAGCCTCCTGAATGCTAGTATGTGCTGTCCACCTGGCTGCCTTTTTATTTGTTTGTTTATTTATTTATTTATTTTTGTCTTTTTGAGACAGGGTCTTGCTATGCAGTTCAGGCTGGCCTTGAGCTCACTTTGTAGCCTACACTGGTCTCGAACTTGCAATGATTCTCCTGCCTCAGCCTCCCAAGTGCTGGGATTACAGGTGTGTGCCACCATGCCCAGTCGTTTTTTCTTTTTTTTTAAGGCATGGTCTTGTTATGTAGCCCAGGCTGACCTCTTAACTTGAACCCTCCAGCCTCAGTCTCCTGAGTGCCGGGATAACAGGTGTGCACCACTCCACCTAGTCTGTAGGTCACCCTTTGAAGCCTTTCCTGGGCTTAAGCCCTGTGCCCATGAGACTCCTCTTGGGCCTTGTGTTTTTTTGTACCAGGAATCGAACTCAGGGCCTCGAGCTTGCCAGACAGGTGCTGTGCCGCTGAGCCGCAAGCCAGGGCCCTCAGTCTGTTTGTTAAGTGTCCTAAATCAGGCATTTGTCCTGGGAGGCTGAGGCAGAAAGATTCCCCAGGATATCCAGGCCAGCATGGGCTAGACAGGGAACTCAAGGCCAGCCTGGACTACATAGTGAGACCCTGTCTGAAACAAAACAAAAAAGAAAGGAAGAAAGAAGGAAAGGAAAGAGCCTGGAAACACAAGGTCCTAAATTCAATTGTCAGTACCAAAAAAAGAAAGAAAGAAAGAAAGAAAGAAAGAAAGAAAGAAAGAAAGAAAGAAAGAAAGAAAAAGACAAGACAAAACAGATACACTGGGCCTAGTGGCTCATGCCTGTAATCCCACCACTTGGGAGAATGAGGCAGGAGGATCTCGGAGAGTTCAGTTTGAGGCCTGCCTGAGCTACTGAGTTCAAGCCCAGCCTGAATTGCATAGCAAAATCCTGTCTCAAAAAGACATGAAAGGGCTGGGGATGTGGCTCAGTGGTAGAGCTCTTGCCTTGCATGCCAAGGCCCTCCGTTCAATCCCCAGCACCACATAAAAAAATTTTAAAAAAAGACATAGCTGGGCGTGGTGGCGCACACCTGTAATCCCAGCCCTCAGGAGGCTGAGGCAGGAGGATCCTTGTGAGTTCGAGACCAGCCTGGGCTACAAAGTGAGCTCAAGTTCAGCCTGAACTGCATAGAGAGACCCTGTCTCAAAAAGACCAAAAAACAAAACAAACAAACGAACAAACAAAGAAGAAGACATGGGGAAAAAAAAGGGAGCAAGAAAGGAAGAGTCTTGGACTCTAGTCCCTGCCCCAAGGAACCCCCCTGGGGCTTGAGCAGATCCCGGACCTCATTAGCAGAGTCCCTGGCCGGGTCAAGTGTGGTGCTGACATTCAGCTAATTAGAGAAGAATTGGAAGACGAAAGTTCCTTTCTTCCTGGCCAGAGACAAGCGGAGCAGGGAGCATCTTCCCCTGGCCCGAGTCCTTCTCCCAACCTCCATGCCCCACATGTGGGCAGCAGCTGGGCGCTGAGGGGCTGCAGTTCAGTGCAGGTCTAACCCCATCCCTCCCTTGACCTGGGCAGCCCATGGATGAGGTTGGGTGCAGCCGGGAGAGATGGATCCAGAGCTTTTTTTAAGCATTGGAAATGGAACCCAAGGCCTCACGCATGCTTGGCAAGCACTCACCACTGAGCTGCATCCCAGCCCTTACTATTGATTTGGAGAGAGGGTATTGGGAAGTCACTAAGTTGTCTAGACTGTGCTTGGACTTGGGGTCCTCCTGCTTCAGCCTCCCAGATAGCTGGGATTAGAGGTGTGTGCC